ACAGGCCTGATGTTTTACCTGTTGACTCCTGATAAATTCACACTTCAAAGAATAAAATAGCCTGACCAAGACTCACTCTTCTCTGACTGAATGGAATCTAGAAAACATACACAGGGTCCTCAATGCTCCTGTTTCCCTCTGCAACAGCCAGGCATTTGCAGACGATCAGACACAAGTGCGTAGCCCAGAAAGCAGCAAGAATTGGGCTGAGCTGAGGAGAGCTCTTAAAAGGGCCAATTACGAGCTTTTGCTTGTGTTGACATGAGTGTAGGTGAGAAAAAACACGGGATTCATTGAGCAATAGCATCCCTATAGATCCCCACTTCATGCCAGTGTCTGGAACAGATACTGCTGACGGAAGGCATAGGGGCAGGTTAAGGGGTAGGGGTAGGGGTGCTTTATAGGCAAATTTGTGGGTGCTCATTTTATGCAACTCATCTGAGTTCAGCTTGGCAGCTTCAAAAAAAAAAAAATGCAGAAGCCAAGCAGCTTTCAGCCATGTCCGGTCTATTACGAGGCTCATCATTCTCCAACGCACTGGGTGCTGCCTTGGCCTCCTAGCTTCACCCCCACCTTGGGCAGCCAGGGCCCGCACACAGTTTTGGAGATGGAGATCCCTGGAACCCACTGTTCTGTCCTTTTTTTCAAGTGTCTGGGTTTAGGTGAATGAGGTTTACATTAGTTTAATAAATATTAATAACTATTTTAATTGCAGCAGGCCTTTCACGTGAGACATTCAAATTGCTTCTCAGGAATCTGGAAGCCCCCAGTGAGAGTGAAGCAATCATGTTGCAAAGCTGTGCTAACTCTTCCAGGTCTTATGAGCCCCACTGGGGCAGGGGCTGACAATAAGAAACATGTTTGAGGAGAAGAAAAACATGCTTAGGACAAGCTAGTAGCAAATAGTGCTGCTGTCTCATTCCCATCTTCAAATATTGTGCTCCTGTCTCTGGTTCAAATTTCCTTACATCTGTATTCTATTCCTTATATAGCAGGATATTTTCAAATATAAGTGAGGATATTAAAAGCTAATGTGTATTGAGTGTTTACTACGGGCCAAATCGTGAGCTTCGATACATGACTTTATGCAGTCCCCCCAGCCACATAAAAACTTCATTATCATCCCCACCTTCTCGTAAGAAAACTGAGCTCCGAGAGGTTGCCTCTCCCTGACGATATGACCACTAAATGACAGGATAATAACCAAATACAAACTGCTTTGTTTTCATCTAATGATTTTGGTTGTCAGTGGAATAAGCTCATCATTACCACCCTGCTATTAAAAAGCAAAATGGTTTGGGATGAACATTGTACAG